TGGGGGCAATATGCTGACTCTGTAAACCGCTTAGAGAGGCCTGAAAGGCCTATGAAGCGGTATATAAGTCTAACTGCTATTGCTATTGCTATTAAAATAGGATGTCAAAATTATTAGTATGCTATACTATTGATCAATGGCCTATTAAGGTGAAGAGTCTATGCAGATACAAGATTTCTAGGATGTATTGATTAGATTAGACAGTAATCTTGAAATACCCTGTAGGTATATTGTAACTTGAGTTATCAGACAATTGATATGCTGGGAATTCTATGGTTATAATCACAGTATATCTGTAAATCACAATAAAGTTGATTTACTATTTATTAAGTAATTTTATAGTGCAGACCCTGGTGTGCACAAGTATCACCTCTACTGCAGGAGCTGCCGATTTGCTTCCAGGTCAATTCAAGGTGCGGCTTGTCACTCTTAAAGCCTTTCATGGCTTGGGACAAGGCTATCTGAGAGACCGTCTCTTGCTGGTCACATCTACCCGACCCATTGGAGCGGGGAGACAGCAAATGTTGCGGGCCCCATCCCCAAGGGAGATAAACCTGATGGGACCCAGAAAAAGGGCCTCCTCCATGGCTCCCTCTCTCTGGAACATCATTCCACCAGAGATTAGAAGGGCCCCCATTCTAATACTCTTCTGGAAAGTGCTGAAGACTTGGTTCTGACAGCGGGCCCGAGCAACCCAGAGTGGGATGTAACCCATTAAATGGCTCATGCGTTCTGCTGTTGCCAGGGCGGGAGGTGATTGTATTATACTAATGTATTTGATTCTTTTTATTAGTTTTATTGTTTTAAATGTGGTTTTATATTCTGTAAACTGCCTTGAGTCGCCATGAGTGAAGAGGTGGCAATATAAATTAAATAAATAAAAATGATTGCGCATATAAATAATATAATTTAATTTATCATTTACCTTGTAGAACAGCCTAATTTGTTAAATATTCAGTTTACAACCCAAGTCATTGCGTTCTTTAGGAATGGATGTTATTAAACTATGGGTAATAAGTCCATACATTTTTAGAACCAAATAAATTGAATTTCATATGGATGGTTCTATCATCGTTGGAAATATTCTGATGAAATACTTACCATTCTGGCTCCCTATATGGTCAGTATTTTTTTCAATTTCTGTAGGAGACAATAACCTTATTAAAAGCAATGGAAAACTTAATTGCAATGTACCATTTCTTTTAGGCACTTTTTTAAAATAAGAGGTACTTTTAAACTTGGTTTAAAAGGTGCTAATTAAAATCATGTGATTGGCATCATACAGGTTTCATGGACAAATAAAATGATAGATCAAATGGACAGACAGATGGCAGAAAGAGACATACTGGGAAAATATGGCTCAGACTGAAGTACTTTCTTACAGGACCCTGCTGAATTGTAGGTATTCTGAAATAATCAGACTTTGATGAAAATATACATGGAACTCAGGAACAACTTTCTACATATAGGGGACAGTTCAGATGTTGCAGAGAAAATTATTGAAAACACATCATGAGTTTACATAGATTTTGTCTTGAGAGGAATCTTTCTTCCTCTATTCTTTGGCTATCTTTGGTTAATGTTAAATCAAAGTTCAGAAAACCTCTTTAGCGGCAGTCTATGGACAATCTTATTCAGAGATGCAATGGATTGGAAGTAATCCTAGAACCCAGATTTGGCATTGTAATGTGAATCAAGTTGTAGAAAAGATAATGATTGCAAATTAAGTATGAGCATGAAACATGTGCCTTGATAAGCATTGGGCATTTGAACCAATAGTTCAATTTAACTAAACCTATAAAATCAGTTTATACATCATAAATTATTAACTTATTGGACAGGTGGCATCTAAATGTTACTCAAAGTATATTTTTCCATATTCCACTACTCTAATTGTAATGTAAAATGGATTGTGTGGATAGAAATCAAAGTATATTAAGCAAATGTTGGCAAGGTTTTATGTTACATTTATGTTTTGTTGGTAATGTTTTGTAGTACTTTAGTTGAAATCAATAAGGTTTACTTTTGATAGAAAAATATATAATGGCATTATAGGTCTATAGTAAGTAAACAGACATGTATACAAATTTTTATTTGGTTGAATATAAATCCAATATATAGTATATTGAATTATAGATGAAGAAATCATATTACTAGCATTAACATGATGCAGATTAAATATAATAGATTAAAATTGTATAGTCAAAGAGAATATGCTTATTACATTTTTTCATTAACTAGCAAGATTATACTTAGACTTCATCTTAATATGTAGCCGGATATGTTTGCTAGTTGCGACTCTGTTATTTTCCTTTGAAACGAATGTAGTTTTTATTCCAACAGAGAAGATACACATATTCCTATAGAAAATTTCAATGTCCTGCCCAAAGTTTCATATCACAGAGTTCATTCTCATTTCAACGATAAAAGGTGAAAGAATTAGAAAAATTATGAATTAAATTTTCATTCAGAAGTGATAGACCAGGGGTGTTAAACTCATGGCCCATGGGCCGGATGTGTCATGTGCTGGTCCCGCCCCCACCTGACTTGGTGAAGGAGAAGTCCTGTTATGTCATGTGACATCGCCATGACACGAGTTTGACACCCCTGTGAGAGACCATCCAATACAATTTGGAGTAGGTATAACTTCATAAAAACAATGTGAATTTGAAAGAACAATAACTTGCAGAAGGAACTAAATACTGAAATAAAAAAATATATTTATTTGTAGTGATCTTCCTGTGTTCTACGTGTGTTTCATTACATACAGTCCCTCCCAATTCTTAATTTTAGAATTATTATTGAAATGTTGAAGAACAGTTAACTTCTTCCAGTCTTGATGTCAGATATCAGTTAAGAAATTCTGAAGCTTTATAAACCAACTAGCTCATCCTCTGTATCTCAGAGTTTTGATGCACCTGCTAAAGATTGGAATACAATTTGGGTTTTAAATTATAATGTATATGATGCTATTCAAATATTTTAAGTGAAATCAACCTATAAATTTAATTTTTCAAGGTAAACATACTCATATTCCATCTTTTGAACCCTAATTTTTTAGTGGAGTTGCTGGATTTTGTGGATGTTTTATAGAAGCTATTAGAAATGTTTACCATTAGAATGCCTATAGTATGCAAAAATATTTTTATGGTGGGAAATGGTGAAAACTGGTAAAATACCAGTTTTAAGAAGACATTATAATGAAGCTAAAAGATAAGTAACTGGCATGGTGATTATAGTAATAAATTATGACTAGAGAAGATCACATTCATACCTAGTTATAGAGTTTAAATGATGTCTTGAGAAATATTATTTCCCAACCCAACATATTTTACAAGATTATTTCTATTAAAAAAAATGGAAATACTATAGAGGTTACACTTGGGCTCCTGAAGGAAAAATGGTCTATAAATCTACAAATAAGGTTCTAAATATAAAGAAAGACAGTTGCTGACTTTCAGAATACAAAACAGTTTTAAACTTTATTTATTTAGTCAGGTTCTTTTCCATTCCAAATATAGTTATGGAATATTTTGAGAAATTAAGGGATTTTTCCTGCCAAAAGATAGCTGAACATTTTGAGGAACATGAGCAAAATTTTTCATTAAATATTTTGTCTAAGATGATTTGTATATTAAATTTTATTTAACATACACTATGAAAATGTATAAGTCACTATATAGTATCACAAAATGGTAAGTCGTCAACAAAATGGGCATTACCCAAATTCAGTTTTATAACAATATTGAAAATTTTCTATGATATTACAAACCAATTCTAAGCCATTCGCTAATTGAGACAGATATAAACTACAGAAATAAACTAAATTTATGCTTAGTATCTGCCTGGTATGGATTTGTTTCCAATTTTGCTTATATAAAATAATTCACTTATCTAGTTCAGTTTAGAACGCTTGTATATCTGCCTACTTGCTATGTCCCCAACTTTCAGGTCTCTTCATTTTATTTCCCATAGCCCCCAGATTTATAAAGAGACACATACACACACACGCTTTCTTTACTTCTCCATTTCTCCCTTTTCTTTTATAAAATCTAATATGGTTAAGGCTAGAAGACATTGCAATAGCCTCTAGCTGAGTCATTATTTTTCTAATGGAAGATTGCTTAGTATTAAGAGAACTAATTAGAATTTGAAAGGTGAAAAGTGATTTGTTTGACAGTTCTTACTCTGCTTTCTGCTCCACTAAATTAAAAAAAAACATACTTTATAGTATACATTAGAATATTAAAAATTATAAATCCTTTACATTGTGCCAAGGACGTTCACAAATATGATACACATAATGGGTGTCAAACTCAAGGCCCGGGGCTCAGATCCGGCCAACGGGGGTGCTTAGATCAGGCCCGGGGGGCTGCCCTGGAAACAGCAAAGGTCTGGCTGATAGTGTCTCTGCCAGTGAAAATGGAGCTCACGAGCTCTGTTTTTGCTGGAAGAGGGTTGCAGGAAGCAGTCATAGGCAAAAATGGAGCTCGGGACCCGTTTTTGTTGGCAGAGTGCTCAGGCCACCTCGAGTGATTTTGAGCTGGCCATGCCCAGCCTGGCGACGCCCATCCTGTCTCCCGAGGTCAAACACAACCCTGCTGTGGCCCTCAATGAAATAGAGTTTGACACCCCTGATATACATGAGTCCTGTATTACTGTCACTAGAATAATTGTATTGATTGATTCTTTGCTTTCATACTAATTGATATTCTTTTGTTAGCATTTATATTTATACCACAAATATGTTTAGTATTAAAATTAAAATTAAATTAATTAAAACTATGTTATATTTAGAATTACATTTTCCTCCTTTCCCCTCTCCCCCCTCTCTTGCAGTGATGGGTCAGGAAGCTGGAAAACCCACATGGCCAAAACCAACAGGAGGCTATCAAACTATTACAGGGAGAAGATATGGAAGAAGACATGCCTATGTCAGTTTTAGACCATCTCTGATGAATCAAGAAAGATATTCAAACCAACAGACAGAAGAATGTGAAGGATTAGAACTAGACAGTGTTCTAAAAGAAAATTTATTGTGTGTGTGTCACATAATTACAAATTATTATTATTTGATTCAGAGAAAACTTTCTACTTAGGACAAACATTGTACAAGAAGCTAGGATGTTGTGAATTAAACATAATTTGGATATATCGTATTGATCTTTTTTATCTATAACATATATCTGAATAATATGTAGTTATTATGTGTAATCCAAGTCTGCTCCCAAGTTTGCATTATTTATTTTTAAGTCAGCCTGGCTTATATAAAATAGATGATAAAAGTAGGTTATTAGTGCTCAATTTCTTTAGTTATACATTCAAATATCATATCTTTGAATATTAATATTTTGGGATATTCATAGTTATGCTATTATCTACCACACTTATAATTTCTAATTCATTATTATTTTTCAGGTTGCTTTAATTGGTATAGTTTGCCTTTCAAAATTATTAACATGATTGCTTCTTTCTATTTTGAATACTATCAAATTTCTGTGATTGTTTTTGCTAAATCTGCTTGCATTTTAAATTTCTAAGAACTATTAGAAGTTTTCTTCAATTAAGTTGTACAAAATAATATCCCTCAATTGTTTTACTGCAGTCATAGAGGCAATATTACGTAGGATGTCCTTCTATTTATTTCACACATTTACATATTATTTTACCAAAGCTGATTCACAACACATAGAATGTGAATTTCAATAAAGGATATTATGTGTACCATTAGAATAGTAATCAGAAGTGAACATCAGTAATTAAATATCTCAAATTTCATCATTTATTTCTAAATGAGAAACATTAAAGAGGAAATTTGATAAAGGGAACGTGGAAGCAAATCTAGAATCCATTAAAATCAGTCAATGAAACATCTGTTCACAAAGTAATGACACTTCTTGTACCATGTTAAATGAAATACTATATATTTGGGGTAATTCTGTTTATTAATGATAAAATACCCTATTCCTAATCTATAAGAAAACTATTTTTTCTAGTAGGCAATTGCATAAGATTTTCAGAACAAGATTGTTCATAATGGAGGCAGCAAATTAATACTGTATAATGATTTGGAAGTATTATATAGCATGCTACAGCTAATTATATAATTTCATTGTTTAAATACATAGTCTGATTCAGCCATAGAGAGAACTCAAAATGCTGGTTTATTGTGAACAGTTAAGCATGGTAATGAATGTGGGTTTATTGCTAGCATCTGCTCTTTATGCCTCTTATTTTTTAAATCTTTATCCTTATTTATTTATTGATTGATTTGTTTGCTATCCATCTCATCTTGAGGTGATTCTTTAATTTCTTTAGTGCTACATCTACAAAGTCATTATTTGTTCTACAATTCTAATATAGTTTGTTGAGCAAGTTAACAAGCTGAACATTCTTGTTTTTATGTATCCCTGAAGAAAATGGAGGGAAGATCCCTGATTTGTGTGCTTGATTATTCACAACAAACCAAGAGTTTTTTCAAATTATTTTTCCATTAGAATAATGCCAATAAATGGCATATTAATAACTTTATTGATGTAGTACTGAAAGATGAGGTAGAATTGCAAATTGTTGCAAATATATTTTCTTCCAAAAATGAGAAATATCTTAGATTTTGATATCTAGCCACTTTTTTTAAATGACGTACTGTATATATTCATTATGTTCTGATAATTTATACTTGAGCCTATACCACTTTGCTAGTTTGTTTAAAAAACAGCTGTAGATTGATACAGTATCTTTAATTACTGATTTTTATCATGTCTGTTTTATTTAATAATCCAATAACTGGTCTTATCCTTTCAATGTATCTTTCTTTATAATTCTATATAAAGGTTCCAGTCCACATGTTCCCGTATGTTCTCCATTGGTAGATGCACCATTATTACCAAATATTGGATCAGAAGAACCTGCTTGTGAAGCTGATTCTAACCACGCTATCACCATAGATACTTCCATGTTTTCTCCAACGTGCTACAATTTGTGTGATCACCAAAATGTTGCCAACAATGAGAATTCTAATGACAATGTGGAGTCTACTTCTGAAGAGTGCAATAATCTTCATGGCCAGAATGGAATAGCCTTTGTAAACATTGACTCTTATGAACCAGACAGCAGTGATGGAGAGGAAGATAGTTTCCAAAATGCTATCACATTAGCTAAAGAAGAAACAGGACTGTTTCAAGAAAAACTGGACAATATGCTTTCTAGGTTAGAAAAAGATATGGACTCCTTCAGTGATCTGCAGTCACATCTGCCTAGTTTCAGTCATAATACCATAAGTAAAAGTTTTGAAGATCTTAGACTAGTGCCTTTTAGAAGACTTTCTAGCATAGAATCAGATACTGTTTATCAAAACAAGTCACTTTCGAAAATATCTAATGATGAAACTTTAGCAAAAAGTAACCTTATTTCTTATGATTTAGAACAGAAAAACAGTACAGTTGAGCCTACAATTAGGACACATGTTGGAATTTGTAATGCACTGAGTACTACAAGCATGAAAGTGGACCAAGAGAATTCAGCTGAATTGGTAGTAAGACCCAAAGTTAGAAAACAGAATCCTGTTAGTGAGATTGATAAAAAACAGTCTGTAATGAATGAAGAGGAAGAAAAAAGAAGTAGTAAAATGTGGACTGATAATGTGGATGATCAGCCATGCAATGCTGAAATTATCTCAAAGCATAGTAAAGAAAAAAAATCTAATATCATTTTTGACCCCAAAGAGTATGAATTGGCTGAAAAGAAAGTAAAAAATGAACCAAGGAAACACAATACAAGTCTTCAAGAAAAAAGTAAAATAGATGATAGTGCTTTTTGGGATGAATTTGAAGATTGTGGTATAAATCTATCTAATTCCAACAAAGATGAAGATGACAGGTAAGTTTTAAAAAGAAGTTTAATTTTACATTTTCCAAATATTTGATCATTTTTGGTTAATATGTGTACATTTAAAATTGACCAAAAATTCCTGAATCCTCAATGTTGCAGTGTTATAATTCCTTTTCAGATATCATAGTGATATCTGAACAAAGTATTTCTTCCAACTATGTGATGTACTTACAACTTGCTGGATCAGGCATTGTACCTTTAAATGCCATATTCTCCACGGTTTCAACAGGACAGTCCAGGATGGGTTATTCTAGTCTGCTAGCTCGTTGACTGAATTGAAAGACGCCTCCTTGGTAATGGTCCTCAGTTTTTCAATTCAGTCTCAGCTCGCAGGACTGTTTTTTATGAGCTCCAAGCTCAGATAAGTATGATTTTTCTTCTTTTTCGTGGTAATGAGGCTCCGAAAGCCCATTTAAAGCCCCTGAAGCGCCACACACTCTGGTCTACTTGCTCCTTCTCCTTAACTCCTAGAAGCACGTTATAAATTTTAGTTTCAGCTAAATATATTCATGTACTTTTTTCTATCAATAAGCAAATAAATGTTTTGAGAAATTCTACAAAAATGTGATTTGCAGTACTTTTGTTATTGGAAATAAATTTATTTTACCAAGAAGAATACTTTAGTGACTTCTACAGCAACATGGCTTGGATCCCAAATCATCTTACTGGAATAGAAAAATACTCAAATGTGTTCAGAGGAATGCCATCAAAATCCTTACAATCCTATGTTCCTGTACAAGCTAGTGTGGCTAGTTTTTAAGATTATAGCCAATCCATTAGTCTTTTGTAATGATTTTTGAGGGAAAAAGTAAGAAGACGACTGTTACATAAGAATTCCGCTGAATGATCTCTCAATGAACATTAACAACGAAATAGCATAAATGTACTTAATTTTTTCTTCAGTGGTATTGTCTAAACATCCTAAGAGCATTTAACAATTATTGGCATATCATAGAAAGTTGCCTATGTTCAGTACTGTGTCTGTAGTTAGTAAAAAAAAAAAAAAAAGGCAATGAACTGAAAAGTGTAAGACATGATTAAATGCATAGGTAATATCCCGTTTCATACGATCAAAGAGAGTTTTCTTCTTAATTCAAAAGTTGGTCCAAAGGGTTGGGAAACCCTCCAGAGCAACCCTCCAGAGCAAGTACAAGGTAAACAATTACCACCCCTTCAATTAGTTTTATGCTTCAAGACTTTCCATTGTGTTCTATTTGTTTTGAACTGCACAAATGCAGTGTTAATGCACTTCTTAGGTTTGATTAAGCTGGAAATTATACAACATTATACAACCTGTAGACGTATGGTTAAGATAGTACAAATATGTTCAAACTGAAATGTTCCATCTGCCAAAACTACTACTGAAACTTAAGTTGCAGGGAAGGTTCATCATACATAATCACTATTAAAGGATTATGATACTTCCTAATAAATAAGATTTGGGGTGTGTGTGAAAGGAATTTATCACAGCTTACAATGTTTTTTCTGAATATTTGAATGCATTTTCTTTTCACTATATCTCTGTCAAATATTATGAATCTGCCAGAAATGTTCCCCCTTTAAATCTGTGTTGAAGAATTGAGAAATGCTCAGTTTGCTTTGTACCTTGAACCTGGCTTCCAAAGGAAGAAACATTAACCTAAGATTAATACATTACTCCAACTTTTCTCCCAGGTGATTACCTTGCTTTCCTTAGGGGTGAGGAATATCCCATTGTGTACAGTTGGGGTCTCTTGAAGATGAAACATACCTTCAAATAAAGAATACAATTTTTGGAAGCCTAAAATGGAGGCTGAGGATTTTTAGAAGTCTGAAAATGATTTAGATTTGTTTGTACAGTATATGCCTAAAGGAAGGGTTTAGTAGATTTGGAACACAAGCAAAATATTCTGAAATTATGTCTACCATTTTAGTATTTAAATGGGAAGGCTTTAGTTTCATAATTTTAGGATGGTAAAAGTATTTTATAGTAAAAATATTACCTAGATTTGAATGAAAATAAAATTTTCAAGATTTTTTAAAACAAAAACCCATCACAAAGACCAATGCTATTTTTCTATTCTTATTATTATTGCATTAGATTTATCTCTCTTTTATTTTGCATATTGAATCTACTTTGTGATATACGTTATTTAATAAGAAAAATAGAAAATAATGGAAGTATTCATAATACGTCTTAAAACTGGCAGCATTCCAAGTTTGCTGTTAATCATTCCCTTACTGCTTACATATTGCTGTCCAATATCATTAGAAAAAGGCTTTGGACTTTAAATGTAATTAGAAAGTACTGAAATTTTCCAGGGGTGTCCTGTTAGTAAATAGTTCAGAACTGGGATTATGTAATGTTGAAGATAAGGGATAAATGAAAAATAGTACAAAGACCATAATTTATATATAAAAATAAAAGCTTTAAAATATTCAGGAATTTCTGTTCTGTATCTAGTGATTTGGTTGATAATCTTGATGTTTATAGGAGCAAATTACCTTTAGCAAATTTGATTCCACCAAGTTACCAACTGCTTATTCATTCATTATTTATTTACAATTTCTGTTTAACAGTTAGGTATGTATAAGAAGAAAAAGAGAGTAATATATGATTGTCCATAAAATTGTTTGTTTCATCATGTTCTCAGCATGTTTTTTAGAAGTTTATTGCCAGTCTTGTATTATTAAATACACATTTTCATATCAGAAATGAATTTAAAGAAAGTTTTATTTTTCTTTGCATCAGGCCAGTTGTAGTCTAATGTTGAGGATTCTAAAGTCTATTATCCAAGAGAGGATTTTAATAAAATAGATCCTAATTTTCTTGGTGCTCCTTCAGATTACAAATATTGTATTTTATATCTTTGATAGGAGGTAAGATTAGGATTTCAGAATGAAAGAAGCAGTAGGGTTTTGGTTTTTTTGGTCTCACCTGGGAGAATTCGTAAGGGATTTTTTTTTTTATAATATGATTTTAGTAGGAAATTATCTCCTACTCTTACGGGACAGAATCATCCAAACCTGAGCATGTTCATATCTAAAGGGGAAACTAGAGATGCTTTTAGATCTTTTCCATTTTATGCTCAGCTTGATTGAATCATGGCAAATATTAACTATCAAACTTTAAGTGCAACTGGACTCTCTCAAATTGCAGCTCAGAATGCAGTGATGGTGAATGGTCTGCATCCCTGCCTTCTTACTTTTCTGTGACTGTGAAAGATCAGTCCTCCAGTGATGAAAGCTGGGAGACACTTCCAGGCAAAGAGGAACAGGAACCTGAAGAGCAGAGTGATAGCAGTGGTGTGGAAGAGGAACATAATGATTTTGGTTTCCAATCACGGTATGTCATTCTAATCATGAATTGCTTTTTTATAAACAAAAAAACTGCTATTTTCGTTTCAAATATGTTTTATTTTCATTTCATACAGTCACATATATACTGTGCATGACCGGGGCCATATAACATTGAGCAATAAACACAGCC